TGTAAAACTTAACAATGGCTAAATCTATGTCAAGTTCCAACTGCAAACAAAGTTGAATATATTTGAAAACTGTTTTATACCTGTTGATGTTATACTAGGGTTGTCTAAAATATTTGTAAGACCTAAACAAATTATGCACAAATTTCTCGAATATGACATGCCTAAGTTACAGAATGTGCTTGAATGTTATTGCTTTAGAGTCATACGGCATGAGAAAAACAGAACAAAATTCTTTCAGATGTAGCAAAGTCTGCCTATTTGTCTTTTTGTTTTTATAATCCATACTTCAAAAAGAATCAACAAGGTAAAGCAACAGAAGAGGAACATGTCTATAGCAAGGAAAGTGGTTAGAGAACAAGGTTTGCATGTTCACAGGCAATTTCAAGTTAACTTACAAAAAAAAAAAAAAATGAACATAGGAGATACTCTAAATAATTTCTCAAATGTAAGTGTAATCAGAATACAGAATGAAAGTATTCTGCATCTTATTCTGAGTCATTAGTGAAGTCAAAAAGCTGCCAGAGGCCACCTTCTCCTTCTATGACACTAGCTTTAGGTTCAGGCACCACATTTTCCCATTCAGACATCTTGTATTCCACCATCATTTGGGAGCGGTCTGTGTCCTCAGACCACAAACTGAAGGGGTTTAGTGGTTGTTCAGCTACACACCTACTGACTGGTTTTACGGTGGCTTGCTGCTGTAGTTTTAAGCGATTCTCTGCAACAGACTTGTTGGTCATTTTCCAGTTGTCACCAAGAGAAGCCAAAGGTATTCTGTCTTTTTGTTCACACTGAAGGTCTTCATTCTGCTGGCTGTCCTTTGAGAAATTTGCTCCTTTTTTTCTCACTGGCTGTCTTTGTGGGAGAACCAGGGCTCTCTTTTTCCCCCTGTAATTTAGTGGTTTTTGGCGCCTCTTAGGTACTTTCAGTGGTGGCATTGCATCAGTGACAAATTGGTTCTCTCTCACATGCAGTGGTTTTTCAGGCTTCAGGTCTACATTCTGTCCCCAATGGTCCTCTATGGATGCAGTGGACTGAACATCCACATGTGGGCTTGAAGGTCTGGTCTCAACTAATTGTGTGCCCCATAAACTCTGCGAAGCATCAGGGAAAACCTCCTCTGTGACTGTCTGCTGTCTTTCTTCAGGCAGAACGTGTGCATTTCTGTTTCGTGTCTTCTGTGCTGTGAGTGGACACTGGTTCTGCTCTGCTGATTTTCCTGAATAAATGACAGGCCTGTTGCATATAATCTTGCTCTCGTGTTCTTTTTCAGCTGATATGACACAGAACCTCTCTAATAAACCAGGTGATGTCTGGACCTCACTGTCAATCATTCTAGCAGAGCCAGGTCCTGTCATCGGCTTGTGAATAGAAATCAAAGTACTAAGCTGAGACAGAATTTTTCCCAGCATGCCCTGCTCCTTGCTCTGCTCTGCTTTAAGATGTTCCAGATCCTGTTGGAGGTTAAGCATGCCTGAGCTCAACTCTTCTGCAGCCAGACTGCTCTGTTTAATAGAAAATAAATGTGGCTTTCTTACCGATGCCAAAATAAAATACATTATTGAAAGCTTTGCATCTATTGCCTCTGTTATACAGTATGTGCAGTCCTTACCTTGGCATCCCTGTCTCCCATATCTATTTGTGTTTGGCTCTGCAGAGTCTCAAACTGACATGTTATACCTTCTTTCACACTGTTTAAATAACCTTCAACTGCAATAGACAACAATGTCATAGGTTATAAATATATAACATTTACAACATTTAAAATTATTTTTAAAATTTGTATCTGATCAAAAAGTATCTTTAATGATATATCTGTGGAATTTAGGGTGCCAGCATGGGCTAACCGTTAAGAACCATCTGCATATAGTTAAAAGAATAAACAAAACATAGGAACAAAAACATACTTGTTTTTGAAAAAGTACCCAATTTCTCCATTACAAGTTTGGTTATGTCATTACTTCCATCAATGCGATTTAACAAAGTCTCTCTGGTCTAAAAGGGAAGAGGTAAGTCAATTATAGTATTGAAACCATGACTCTGTGCAATATAAACATTCTAAATGTGTTAAACACGCATGTGTGCCCTAAGTACAATGCTTACATTTTCCAGAGATTCCTGCAATTGTAGAATTCCATGAGTGAGAATTTCCCTAAAAAGGGAAAAGGTAATATTAAACAATACGTCAGGACAGAACCAAAGCAACGTGAAAAATATAAATAGGAAACTACAATAGAATAGTTTTTCATTGCACAAGGATTAAGACTAGGCTGATTACCTTTCATATTTTTCTTTGGCTTTTCTCTTCTCCTCCTCAAATTTGTCCAACATGCCAACAAATTTGCTACTAGTGAAGTTTGAGATTTTGCCATCACCACCAAACAAAAACGGCTTCGAACTATAACTGCTGGACACCATCATTTCCTTCATCTGTAGAGGATTTTTGGAATTAATATGAAATTTAAAATATTATAACATTTTATAGACAACATCACATTAATTTTCATGTATTAAAGTTTTGTGGACCAAGGAAAAAAACAATCAAGTACATGTTCATTTTATTATACCAGATAAAACATGGCATGTTCTACAGACCAAATAAATAGATAGTTTAGGCCTGAAATATTTACCTCCTGTGAGGTAACGTTAGTATGCTGAGAACCTCTGCTCTGTCCACTTATCTCCTGAGTAAACCCTTGTGAATTGTCAGGCCACATTTGAGAGCCCAACAGAAACTGGGAGTCACTCAGGCTGGAGTAGTCACTGGTTCCCGGACCCTTAGCAGTTTTTATCCCTCTATAACAAACAGAGCGCAGAATACACATAAACATAAATATAAACACTACATTATTAGACGCTATTTCAAGGTAATTGATTGGGTAAGTGTAAATAAAAGTAAAAGTTAGCTGACAAATTCTCTAGTACAGAATTCAGTTATGAGACGTTACCCAGAAGTTGCGGGGATATTCAACATCTCTTTTATATTCCAGACATTGGGCTTCATATCCAGGCTTTCAGTGTCAACACATTTATTTCCACTAGAAATAATAAACATGAAATCAAAACTACTACAAAGGACTTGTATTTTGATTTAAACAATGACTTTTGTTTTCAAAAAATATTGTCAAATTTATCTGAGCGAACGTCAAATGTCAAAAATGACGGTTCACGCGCGAGGTCGACGTCTCCCGTCATTAAAGCTCAGCTAGTTTTCATGACTAACTAACGTTAGCGAGAAAACAATCGTTAGTTAATTTCTAATAAGTGATGCTTACCAGAAATGTACTTGTTTGATATGCAGTAATGATTCTGAGGCAACGTAAGTAAATTCTGGCGCGCGTTGATGCTGGCAGTTACGGTTTAATGAAGCTACGTGTACGTGACACTTTTTAACAGACTGCAGCAGTTTTCCCGGGCTACAGAATTTAAATAGTTCACGCAGCCAGTAAATATTTACACCTACATTTCTCCATTATTTCTAGGAAAGATCGATAGGTGGCGCTATTTAAATCCTTATAATGTGAGCGAAAATATTGTAGTTTGTATCACAGTATAAATTAATGATATTAGTTTTTTAATGTTTATTTCATTTTAGTTTGTATGCAATTTTTGCACACATCTATTCAGTTATTAATTAAATATAATGACATTAATGACATTATGATGAGCGAACGTCAAATGTCAAAAATGACGGTTCACGCGCGAGGTCGACGTCTCCCGTCATTAAAGCTCAGCTAGTTTTCATGACTAACTAACGTTAGCGAGAAAACAATCGTTAGTTAATTTCTAATAAGTGATGCTTACCAGAAATGTACTTGTTTGATATGCAGTAATGATTCTGAGGCAACGTAAGTAAATTCTGGCGCGCGTTGATGCTGGCAGTTACGGTTTAATGAAGCTACGTGTACGTGACACTTTTTAACAGACTGCAGCAGTTTTCCCGGGCTACAGAATTTAAATAGTTCACGCAGCCAGTAAATATTTACACCTACATTTCTCCATTATTTCTAGGAAAGATCGATAGGTGGCGCTATTTAAATCCTTATAATGTGAGCGAAAATATTGTAGTTTGTATCACAGTATAAATTAATGATATTAGTTTTTGAATGTTTATTTCATTTTAGTTTGTATGCAATTTTTGCACACATCTATTCAGTTATTAATGAAATATAATGACATTAATGACATTATGATGGCATTGTACAGTGACTCGTGTAGCTAAATCTGCCAGTTATATGCTTGGGACATTAAAAAGCTTAGTGCGGGGGTAGTCTAGGGCAGTGAATCTCAACCTTTTGGCGTACCGGACCCCAGTCCAATTCAGAACCATCCTCAAGGACCCCCAGAACAAAATTGACTCGTATCATTTGTGTCTTTGTGAGGACCAAATTCAGTCAAGTATAATTCAAGTTGGCTGACTTGTCCAGTATTTGGCCATATCATCAGCTATATTGGATTTTTCTTTCATGGGAACATGTCATGTCAAAATATACAACATTTTATACAAAAATTCATACTTTATACGGACCCCCTGGCCTTATGTCAAGGACCACTAGGGGTCCACGGACCCCTGGTTGAGCAACACTGGTCTAGGGTTACTGACTAGTCGATCAATCGCGGTTCACCAATAAACCGAGTCGTTGTTGAGAGCTAATAAACTGTATCCTAGCAACCAAAACCACGAAAGCTAATGTCTTCATAATAAAAGTCATAGCGTTTAGAAAATGTAAAGCAGCTCATTCTGATACTGCATCTCACATATATGTCCATTAATTTCACCATGAAAATACACCGATATGTTTTTGAGTAGAAACTCTTTTAATGCCACAATGAGACATAAAATCTCTAATCTTACAACGATATTAATTTCTGAGATATGTTTCTTACAATAGTTACTAAATAGAATTCGCATCACAACCTGAGCGTAAATTATTAATAAAAATTATATAATAAAAACTGTCTAATAAGCTACAACAGTGAAAGACTTGTATTTTGGCAGTGCAGTTTATTAATCAGGAAGTAAAGTACCGTTGTCAACAGATTTCTGACACATTAAAACTTGCGCAACACAGGTAAGTTCACGTTTTTAATATCATAAAATCTGTTTTATGTCGTCGGTGAACGAAACAGTAATGGCTTCTGTTTTAATTATAGACTGTTTTGTATCATGGCATCCTAGTTATCCATACAGCAAGCTAAACTAATTAGCCAGCTGCTCAGTAAATAGGCTGTTGAAGAACTTGTTTGGTGGGGTAGCTTGTTTGTCGTACAGTATGTCTTAATAACTGGTGGTAAAATGCCATTCTTTAGAGAATATACACCCACCAACCGAGAAAATAAATCTGCATTACCAGTGTAGAATTAACGCCTCGGAAGTGGCCAGTCGTGAGATGATGTGTTGTGCAATGCTCTCAGAAAACATTGATGGCTCACACTTGGTGTTGCCTCACCCCTACAGTTTTATTTAAATATATAAAATAACGGTAAATTTATCAGAAAACGGCTTATCTCCAACTGTGGCATTTTAGAACATAAACACAATGGGTTTCAGATCCATATTGACTCCATCTAACCCACAGGAGTAATCTCATCATGAGTAGAGTCTACTACATCCTCAGTGCTGCTCTTTTTGTGTTAGAAATTCCAGAGACCAAGGTATCTCTTGCTTTTCTCTTCAGGAATCTTTTCACAACATTCAGTATGTGAGAGTCATAACTATTGTGGATACATTGGTTACTGTAATGCTCTAAAACGGAATTTAAGATCTCTTCCAATCTTGATGTATTTTGGATTTGCATGTGTTTCAGGCGCTGCTAGAAAACTCCAATGACTGTTGTGAAAGAATAAAGAGAATGAATGAAACCTGTGTGAATACAACACTCTGTGATCCTGGTATGTTTCTAAAGTAATATCATTAGTAAAATTTAAACAGAGCTGCAAATAACTGTGCCTTTTTAATACAACATGAGCAAATTAACACATGAGCACATTTTGTTTCTGTGTAATGTTATATGTAATTGACATGCATTTGGTATAAATTATATATTTTGTAACCTTGAATCCTACTCTAGGGCTCCTTCAAATTCAGGAGAACAGTACAACATTTTGTGTGTCCTGTGACTCAACAGAGCAGGGCAATTCAACTTTACTTAACAATAGTAAGTGCTGTCACATTAAAGAACATCTCTATATTTTAGAAGATTGCTTGTGATGTATTTATTTTTTTAAGCAAACACACTTTATGCACATGCATGCATCATTCCTCTATCTTGCTTGTTGAAATGTTTAAGAAATAGTTCACCTAAAAATGTAAATTTGCTGAAAATTTACTCACCTTCAGGCCATTCAAGATGTAGATGCATTTGTTTCTTCATCTAAACAAACTTTTAAAATTTTGCATTACATCACTTGCTTCACCAATGGATCCTCTGCAGTGAATGGGTGCCGTCAGAATGAGAGTCCAAAGAGCTGATAAAAACATCACAATAATCTACAAGTACTCCACATAACTCCAGCCAAATCAAGTAACATTTTGTAAAGTGAAAAGCATTTTTGTAACAAACAAATTTAAGATGTTTTTTACTTCAAACCGTTGCTTCCGGCTCAAATATTACTACATAATCCTTAATATTGCTTTCTCCAGTGAAAAGTCGCCTCGTTGGAATCAGAAGAGAAATATGCACAAATCAAGCACCATTTACTAGGGAAAAAATCTAATTCTAAACAAATATGGCAGCGGATTGTGATGTGAGAGGACAAAATGGGATTCACTGGAAGAAGCGTTCATTTCAGGGAGTAAATATTAAGCAAATTTTCATTTTTGGGTGAGCTATTATTCCTTACAAAGCTAGATGGGCTATTTTTTATGTATTTCATTTGTTATATATAATATATGTAATTAATATTATGTATATATATTTTATCTTCCCCTAGCAAGGACTAGTCACATTTCAGTACCTTTAAACACAGTGATTGGTAAGTTACTACCATTGTTTAATGCTAGTTATGTGGACAGCCCACAAAAAAAACAGCTTTAAAAAAAATTTCTATATTGATTTGCACTCAGGCATCTCATTTTCTGTGCATTGTGTCTGTAATGGCAGGTGGTCCAGGTGTAGCAGCTTCTGTCCTTCTAGGAACTCTACTGATCAGCCTGAGTCTCATCCTATCGGTTGCATCTTTCTTTTACCTTAAGCGTTCCAACCGCCTCCCTGGTGTCTTCTACAGGCGCAATAAGGGTAAAAAAAAAAAAGTCTTAAAATCCATAAATATGTAAATCAGTTAAAGCTTTGGTTGACTTTGTTTACCCAACTGTGTTGGATATTTTATGTATTATTATTGGTAGTGTTTTGGAGTGTTTTTATTCAAGATGAATTATAGGAGAGTTGTAAAATTGTAATTTTATATTTCAGCTTTTATATTCCAACCAAGTGAGAAGGTAAGACATCTATAATCATTTTGTTTTTTTTGTCTAAATATTTTTGATGTTATATAAACAAACACACCATTGTGTGGATACCAAAGTACTAACTTGTTCATTTTTCTAACAAGGCTGTCATGATTCCTGAAGCTACATCTTCAGGTAGGAGAAATTTTAACTACTGTATAATCTGTATTTTAAATTTAATCAAAGTTCCAAAGTGGTGCTGCATTCTAAGTCCAACTATGCTAAATTCCAAAACATCTATTGGGAATATCTGATTATTAAAAACTTTTACTTGCTCTGTTTAATGTATACTGTAGGTTGAATGTGACCCTTATCTTTTAAATCATCTACAGTTCGCAAACCAAGATATGTCAGGAGGGAGAGGCCGTCAGCAACATCAGCATCCAGCAGTGCTACTGTGGCAACAGAGGCAGTAACCAAGGTATACAATGTGTGACCAGCCTCCAAGGGCCAGCTATGAGCCCCCAATAAAACATGAGCCTGTTCTATAGCACTGTTTTCTTATAGGATTTACTTTTTTGGTAAAATTTTCCTTTGTAGGCAGCATGAAGAAGTGATATGTCTTGATGTAGGCTTTATCTTGGAAACCTTTTCTCTTCACTAAAGCCAGTTATTTATTTCTATTTATATATTTTTCACATAATACGTTGTTCCTTTTTTTTAAGAGACCTGGTGTTGCACTACTAGAGTATTTTTGATTGTTAAGCTATAATTCAGTCTATTAAGTTGTTTTTTCAATGAATTTTGTAATGTTTATATTTATTACCAGTATTTTTGTGTAATATTGTACTTTTGAATCTTGTGACATTGAAACTAGGATCCAAAAAAAAAAGACTTTCGCAGTTAGTCATATTTGCACACAACCTACTCCTCAAACCTTATCAAAGTTAAAAAATTAAATAAATAAATAAATGGACATATTTACCATTCAGTTAAAATAATTGTTTTGTACCTGTATACACAAATAATATATTTTCTATTAATTCTGTACCGTTTCCACAAATTCCATTAGCACTTATTAATGCCATATACATATGCTGGAAAATACACTGTATGAGCATTGACAATGCTCCTGGCTTGGGTTTCAATGTTAACAGCATATTCATGTTCTACTAACAAGTGTGCATGAAATATCCACTGTTAACAATGCCACATTCCTCACTATATTCAACATAAAAGATTCTGGCTTGCACCAAAGGTTTTCCCAGGTAAATAATAATAAATTCAAATTTGCTAGGCCTTAAATTTGCAAACTTGCTGTTAATACACAGTATATAAGTAAAGTTGTGGAAAAACTGTTGCCAAACACAGTTACCTACTGTATTTATCCCATCTTTCCATTGTGTAAGACAAAGTGCCATTAAGTGAATGTGCTAATGAATGAAGACCTATAGTCACCATTTTTGATTTTGTACATTTTATACAAAATTGGAATGTAAAATTATTAAAGAATTTTAGTAAATTTATCTTGTTTCTTGGTTGGAAAAACAAACAAAAAGCTTGATATCATTGTAGTGTTATAAAGAGAGTGATACACTGGTATTTCTATAAAAGGAGTCAAAATCAGTTACCTTTTTTACTTTATTTTGTAGTCGTTTATTGCAAATAGTGGCCTTTAAAATGCCATATCATCCCCTATGCCTATATATTTATGATTTTCTGTGTAATTTTTAGGTTTTCTCATTTGTAATAATGGTTCTGTTTATTTAAAGGATTATTATGATTTTACTACACATTTTCTACTTCATTTTAGGAAGGGTATTTGAACATTGTTTTGTGAAGTTTCAAATCCTTGGTATGCTGGATTAAGCAAAAGCTAGGAATGTTTACTTAAGGTGAAGGTAAATGATGTGGTTTCGTGGGGATACGTCAGTGATACTGATTCTAGAATATAACCACTTAAATTCAACCTATTTCTCGTGTCATTTTATTGGCTGTTGTGCAGCAACTGGAAAGCATGTCAATAGATTTTGTATATGAATTGTTTAGATGGATGTTGAGGATGATGAACTTTTTTTGTATGTTGATGTCCTAACAGAGTGAGTATTGATCACATATTGAGTCATATTTGATGAAGATTTCAGTGTTTACAGAAATAAAAGATATTTTGATTTATGAGAAACCGTTTACTTGTATTTACTTAATATCATATCCTTGCAAAATGTGATTTAAAAGGTGATGCAAAGAGCCACAGTGCACAAAATAAACAGTCCAGGTGGTGGCTGGTGTTGATCATTAAAGACTCATTTGCCATATAGAGGTTCTGGGAAGTGGTAGAGTAAGGGCATGGTAGTTATAAAACTCTATATAGCATTTTAATTGCTGGCGAGTATTTTCATTGTGTTATCATCTTCAGAATAATTATTAAAATGGTAAAATATTAGGTTGAACTTGTCAAAAACAGTATCAGGAAAGCGCTCCTGTGAATGTGACCAATCACCAGTTTACAGATGTCTTTGGTAAACAGATGGAGGGACTTTGATCCCATTTACCTATAATATTATAAGCACTTCCTTATAAGACACAATAGTATCAGAATAGAGCAAGTACCACGTGACTGTCTTTCCATTAGCTCAGTCCTCTGGGATGTTTGTCATGTCTCACTATTTAACACAAGTGCAAATATACGCATTTCTAAGGAATTATTTAAAGCATTCAGCACAAGTGAAGTCACAACATGACTTCATGACACAACAAAACGTACTCGGTTACTAACGTAACCTCGGTTCCCTGAGATACGGGAACGAGTACTGCGTCTGCTAGACGCATATGGGAAAAAAGCCTTTTTCTCCTGAACTGAAGCCTTTTCATTCACGCAGTGAAACTGCACGGCCATTGGTTCGTGCAGTGTATTAAAAACGAACCAATGGCTAGGCAGCAGAGCTGCACGAGCCTATGGCGACGAAGCCCGCCAAAGCCCACCAGAATGGCAATATCTGGCTATATAAGCGGGCGTTCGCCACAGGATTCTCAGGTTACTTCGACTGAAGCGACGACTGAGTCGTGCAGCTACATAGCACGGCTAGCAACGCAGTACTCGTTCCCGTATCTCAGGGAACCGAGGTTACGTCAGTAACCGAGTAAGTTCCCTTTCGATACTACACTCGTACTGCGTCTGCTAGACACATATGGGAACACAGTACAATCACTCCGTGCTAATGTAGTGGAACGACTAAAGGTATAAAACTTCCATAAGCAACCAATGTATAGAGAGAAGTCAACAATAACCCAAGGCTAAGACGGGCTGAGCTTCCCGAGGTCACACCCGGCCTGGTTAATCGTTCCAGAGTACTCCTGTAACTTCGACACCCAGGGGTCGAGAGCTAACAGGTGAAACAATGCCAGAGAACTTGGGCGTGATATGGCCAAGGGCTCTCTGCCAGATCTGTTTACGCAGCGCATGTCACTT